GAAACTGCCCCCGTGACTGATTTTGAATTTTCCTATCTTTCAGTCCTATTTTCTAATTTTTGGAACAATCCTTAACCTTAGTCTCCAATTTTTCATAGAAATTATTCTATGACTTTTCTGATATTGGATTGAGCCTTTTAAAATAGCATCCATTGTTTGGAGATGTATTATCTTCTCAGGAGAGTGATTTATAATTTTGAAAGTCTTCTGCTTCCCATTTCTGTGACTTTTTTTGTTTTGGTTCTTTTGTCTTCAATTGACGCTAAAGTCTTTCCTTAACTTAAATTCATATGTTGAAACCTAATCCTCAATATGATGGTATTAAGATAAGGCTTTGGAGGTGACTAGGTCATGAGGGTGGAACCCACAGGCATATGATTAGTGCCCTAAAAGAGAGGAGTCTGTTTGCCTTTCCACCATGTAAGACCTGCAGAAAGTTGATAGTCTGCAACCTGGAAGAGTCCTCAACCAGAACCAACCATGTGACACCCGATCTTAGACCCAACCTAAGAGAGAAATAAATTTCTGTGTATTTTTACATAGCTAGTCATGTTATTTTGTTATAGCAGCCCAAAAGACTAAGAAAATGGGTGAGTCTTGTCAAACAGCTAACTTTACTTTGCATGACAGGACAGAGCCTAGCCGAATTCGCTAGCATATCCCAATTGTCAGTATCATTAGTCTTTTCTATAATGTGATCAATTTCAATATTCTGCCTGAAAGGATTTAAGAGTAGCCGCAAAATACCAAACCAAATAGCAAAGAAAATAGGGCTCTTACTGCTCAGCTGGAAATTTTCATATAACCTTCCTGTTTCAGTAAATCACCTATCTTTCAGTTGTTTTCTTTCTTTTCTTTGAGACAAGAGGTTTTGCTCTGCCATTCTGGTAGAATACAGTGCATCAACATAGCTCACTGCATCTCAAACTCCTGGCTCAAGCAAGCCTCCTGCCTCAGCCTCCTTAGTAGCTGAGACTATCGGTGTGCACTACCACGCCCAGATAGTGTCTTTTCTGGTAGAGACAGAGTCTTGCTCTTGCTTAGTTAGGATGGTTTCAAACTCTTGGGCTCAAGCAATCCTCCCGCCTGGCCTCCCAGAGTGCTAGGATTATAGGCATGAGCCATTGCACCCTGGCCTGGTTATTTATTCTTAAAAATCAGAATCAGGCCAGTACGGTGGCTCTCACCTGTAATCCTAGCACTCTGGGAGACCAAGGCAGGCGGATCGCTCAAGGTCAGGAGTTTGAAACCAGCCTGAGCAAGAGCAAGACCTGTCTCTGCTAAAAATAAAAGAAATTAGCCAGACAACTAAAAATATACAGAAAAATTAGCCAGGCATGTGTGGCACATGCCTGTAGTCCAGCTACTCAGGAGGCTGAGGCAGAAGGATTGCTTGAGCCATGAGTTTGAGGTTGCTGTGAGCAGGCTGACGCCACGGCACTCTCGCCCGGCAACGAAGTAAGGACTCTGTCTAAAAAAAAAAAAAAAAAGGGGGGGGTAAATCAGACTAATTATTAGAAGCCGTACAGCTTTTCTCATTTATAAAGTCTAACACAACTCTCTCCCCAATGAATCCTCTTAGAGTAGATGATTTGTGATATGATATACTGTATACTCACATGCCCCTACCTAATCAAGAAAAAAACAGCAGACTAATGAACACTAGTCTCAGTGAGTCACATTTCAACTGGATACACAATATTTCATAAGAGTGAACACGTAGCACTTATAATGCAGGCACTATTCTAATTCCTTTCTTCATCATATCAATACTGTGATCCTCATTTTATAAATTAGGAAACTGAGGACAAAAAAGTAAGGTTCTTTTCAAAGTCACAGCTAATAAGTGGTGAAGTCAGGTTCAATTTGAGTCTGTTTTCAGAATCCACATTCTTAACCATTAGGCATACAGACCTGTAATAATACAAGTCTAAATTTACCATCTCTGGTGTTAGCACTGAGACTCTTCTAATTTCTTCGTATCTAAAAAAGAATGTGATAACACCATTTTGCTGCAATCTGTATCAATATATATCATTTCTTATTCCTATGGGTTTTAATGCCCTAATAATGTAACACACCTACATTAGTGTAGAATCAGAATGTAAATTACTCATTAAGAAGGAAATTGGTCTTGATTAAAACAACTATCACCTAAATGTCCACTGACAGATGAATAAAGAAAATGTGGCATACACAATACAATGGATATTATTTAGCTATGAAAAAGAAAACCTGTCATATGTGACAACATGTATGGACATTGATGACATTATGCTAAGGGATATAAGCTGGTCACAGAAGGACAATAACTGCGTTGAGTGTTAATATGAGGTATCTAAAGTAGTCAAACTCAGAAACAGAAAGTAGAATGGTGGTTGCCAGGGCTGAAGAGAAGAAGAAATGGGAGGTGCTGTTCAATGGGTATAGATTTCAGGCATACAAGATAAGAAAGTTCCAGAGAGGTGCTGCACAACATTGTCTTATGTTATTACTGTTCTGTACACTTAAAAATTTCTTAAGAGGACAGATCTCATGTTATGTGTTTTTTACCCACTACCCCCACACAAAAAACCTCCAAAAAACCATTAAAGTCTTAATCTTACAAAGAGAAGAAGCTTTATAAGAAGATACAATCTGTCACAGATCTTTTAATTCAGATTCAGGTGCAGTACAGCAAACTGCATTACTCTAAAATATTTATAAATCCTATGAACTACTAGGTTTGGTTACCTGACCAATTTGTCTGAAATTGCTTAATAATACTTTTGCTTTTTCATTATGTTACAAAACATTCTATGCTTCCTAAAATGTGAGTAAAGAAAATAAGGGCTCTATCTGATGTCATATCAGTTTTATTAAAGAGCTTATTTCTGGCCAGGTGCAGTGGCTCATGCCTGTAATCCTAGCACTCTGGGAGGCTGAGGTGGTCAATCAGTTGAGCTTGCAATGAGCTATGATCCCACCACTGCACTCTAGCCAAGGCAAAAGTGAGGAAGACTCTGTCTCAAAAATAAATAAATAAATAAAACAGAATAACCAAGAGCTTATTTCTCAGAAATAAAAACCCTAAATCAAAGGCTTATGTTAAGTTCGAAGTTTATAGAACATGTTTTAGGTAACTGCATAATGTCATAAAATACACCTAGGTTATGAAACATTAGAAACAACAGTACATGTTATTAATTTCGTAAGCTCCAAATCTCTAAATGAACTCATCTGGTTTCTTTCCTTTCTCTTTTTGTTTTCTTCGTTCTTCTCTGTCCTTGTTATTTGAGGTTAACAACTCGTGGTAAAAATGAAAAAAGTTCCACCTGCTTAACTCTTTGCATGTGTTAAGTTTGTATGAGTCAAAAGTTTATCTGGTAGATAGACAATAAAAAGTGTTGATGAGGACATGAAGAAACTGAAATCCTTATAGCATTACTTGTGGGAAGGTAAAATAGTGCAGCCACTTTGGAAAAGAGTTTGACAGCTCCTCAAACTTGTTCATTACCCCAAAACATGGAACCAACCCACATAAACCCACTGACTAGACAAGAAATACAAAAGGTAGTATATATCCATAGTATATAATATTTGGCAATATGGTTGGGCGTGGTGGCACACACCTGTAATCCTAGCACTTAGGGAGGCTGAGGCGGGCAGATCGCTCGAGGTCAGGAGTTCGAAACCAGCCTGAGCAAGAGCGAGACTCTGTCTCTACTAAAAACAGAAAGAAATTAACTGACCAACTAAAAATATATATACAAAAAATTAGTTGGGCATGGTGGCGCATGCCTGTAGTCCCAGCTACTCGGGAGGCTGAGGCAGGAGGATCACTTGAGCCCAGGAGATTGAGGTTGCTGTGAGGTAGGCTGACGCCATGGCACTCACTCTAGCCTGGGCAACAAAGTGAGACTCTGTCTCAAAAAAATAAATTGGCAATAAAAAGGAATGAAGTATTGATACATGCTACACTATGGATGAACCTTGAAAATATACTAAGTGAAAGAAGCGACTCACAAAGACCACTTATATGAAATATCCAGAATATACATATCTACAGAGATAAAGTAGAGTAGTAGTTGTCCAAGGTTGGGAGGTAGGGGAGAATGAAGAGTAGCAGATAAGGGGTACGGAGTTTCTTTTCAGGCTGATGAAAATATTCTAAACACAGATTATGGTGATGGCTGAGCAACTGTGAATATTCTAAAAACCATTAAATTGTATTCTTGAATGGGTAAATTATGGTATGTGAATTATATCTCAATAATGATTTTTTTAAAAAATGTATCTGGTAGCTTTCTGAGTACAAACACAATGCAAAGCCTTGTTTCTTTCACAACAGTGTCTAAATAATCATTGCTCATTCTAGTGACAGAGTAGCAATATAATTTGTGGAAAATACACTAGTAAAAATTTTAAAATCAGCATGTTAAAATAGCTGATATGAAATCACCCTAAAATCTAAATTTTAATTCAGCACCTCTTTCAGAATTACAGCCATTCTCTTGGAATCAAAACTTTAACATAGATACATTTTAAACGCACCTAAACAGGAAATTTATTTGCCCATGCTGCCATTTGGGGGGTGGGTGATTTAAATCTGAACTCTACTTGCTTTAAAAATTGTTAATAGCAGCAACAAGGCTGGACATGGTGACTCACACCTGTAATCCTACCACTCTGGGAGGCTGAGGCTGGAAGACCCCTTGAGGCCAGGAGTTCAAGCCTAGCTTGGGCAACAAAGCAAGAACTCATCTCTACAAAAAAGTGTTTTAAAGTTTGCCAGGCATGGTGGCTCAGACCTATAGTTCTAGCTACCTGAGAGGCTAAGGTGGGAGAATTGCTTGAGCCTACCAGATTGAGGTTACTGTAAGCTGTGATGATGCCACTGCATCCCAGCCTGGTCAACAGGGCAAGACCCTGCTCTCAAAAACAACAACAACAACAGTAACATAAAGAGATTCATAATATACATTACATAAACAATGTTAACCTATAAGTATAAAGTATACCTTTTGATTTCTTGTCCTTTTTGCTTAGGAGATTCACCTCCATTCAGGATCTGTTCTAAATTCTTTGTTTCTACGGATCCATTTGGTTCTGAATTAGATAGTCCAAGTAATGATCTTACCCGCTGAGACCGTACATCTAATATCGTATCTGTGTAACCTACTTCCTGAAGATACCTATAAGAGAAAATTAAAATTATTAAATTTCACATCCTGTTAAACACCTGCCAGACTCAAAATCACATCAAGGTTTTTTTAAAAAACCTATAGTCCTATAAAATATACTCCTTCTTTGTCTCAGTATCTTCCTTCTCTATAGACTAGTTTCAGTTCTCAAACTCCTGGTCTTAAGCAATCCTCCCAACCTTGGCCTCCCAAAGTGCTGGGATTACAGTAGTGAGCCACTGTGACGAGCCCAGACTAGTTCCAGTTCTAAGAGAACAATGTCCATCACAAATCAAAATTTAAATTAAAAAGCATAAAGTATGGCTAACATTGATTAAGAGTTAATTATCTTGAAACCTAAAAAGCCCTGGTGTCTTAAAAAGCTTTTAGGAGTTGATTTGTGTGTTTGTGTATTTTTTAATGTCTAAGGAGTGGTAGAGAAGAAGCAGAACTGAACATTAGAGCAGCAACATGCTAAGTTTAGACCAAGTTCTTAATCAGAGATTCATGGACCAGCTAGTTCTCCTTCTAGAATCTAAGATCCTATAGCACTTCTATAGTCCTGAGGTTTTCAAGCTTTCTCTGTGTCCTAGGATCCAAAGTGAGACTGGAAAGAAGGGACCAGATCACAATATACACATGAGTTGTGAAAGGCTTTGTGTGACAAATTAAAGTATTTAGGAGGCCAAAGGAAGGATGCTAAAAAGCAGTCTTAAATACTGCTAGCAGAAGAATACAAGACTTTTAGGTTAAAGCTAAAAGCAGGGAGATTGGTTAACACACTAACACAGCAAGAAGTAAAAGTAGAGAAGAATAAATTTTAGAAAATAACATATAATATTTCTGATTTGATGTCCAAATAAATGTGGCAGTAGATTGAAAGATGTGAGAATTTTGGGCAATTTTCAAGTTTCTAGTTTGGGTGGCTAGATGATGGTTCCACTCAATGAAACAGGTAACAAAGTCAGAATCAAGTTTATAGAGTACCTAGAAGACAACCATGTGGTGTCTGGAAAAAAAATCAAGTGACAGTGTTTACTAGGCAGATGGATGAGACACATCAAAAGTTCAGAAGAGAATGGGCTGGGTATACAGATTTGGGCCATTAATCTTTGGTAGTGTTTGAAGCCATGAATTTAAATGAAATCATTCAGAGAATAAGCATAATAAGAAGAGAAAACCTGGTGACACAAACATCTAAAGGGCTAGAAGAATAAAAGAAACTCAAAGGAAAATGAAAAGAAAATACTTTGAAAATTAAGGGGGAAAATTACAGCAGAGAGTGGTGTCATGGGAGCAAAAATAAAAGTTTCAAAAAGGAGTAGGTAATGTCAAATTTTTCCAAGATATTAAATATGAACAAAAAAGGTCTCTTGAACATGTTTATGATAGCACCTTCAGAGGAACACCAAAATGGAAAACAGACTAGACAGCTGAGATATGAACAAGAATGAAGACTACAGAGATAAACTATCCTTAACGAGTTTGGCTATAAAATCAAAGGGAAAGAGAAAGGTGAGAAGAGACAGACTATAAATCCAGGCAACAGATTAGACATTTATGAGAGAAATACTGTACAACTATTTCTCTACAGCTGTCCTCACTCTTCCTCTAAAATATGCAATCCTCTTTTTGGGGAACAGCTCCCACAATACACTAACCATCTGGTGTGAATGAACTGCCAAGATCTCATACAACCCAGGTAAAAATGACTGACTCATAGGCAGTTATTTGATCAAGTCAAGAAAACTCTATTCCTTCTTAGAAATTGTTCTCTCTTAAAACGGGGTACTCTGTCATATGGAAAAAAGTGATTTTCAGTAGAAAAGAATAAGGCTGGTACAGAGTAAAGTAGAAAACCAGAGAATATGAATGTATCCTTGCTGTTTCCAGTCTCTTGAGCAGTCCTCCAAGCTACCTCAGCTCTTGACTTTCTGATACTTGACTGGTCAGCATTTCCTTCAATGCTGTTAGTTATCCCAGCATTTTTCCAATCAATCTTCCTTTTGTTTAAGCTTTAGCCACTTATAGTAATCCAGATTTGATAAATATCTTCTTGAATGGAACATAAGAAATTGAGGTAATAGATATGAGGTTTAAATATATTTACAAAAAGAAAGCAAAAAGTTAAGGGAGTTCTCACCTGATGGCCTTTATATTTTCAGTAAAGTAGAGCCTGAGATGCTCTAGTAAGAGTAAGGAGTGGGCTGAGATGTGGTTAAAGTTTAGAATAACCACTGAGGACAATGGGAGCAGGGGATGATCAGAGTTACAGAGAAAAGATCTCTGCAAAGTTTGGATAGGAAACAATAAATATATAATGGCATTCACATGATTCTGTAATTTTAGTCCAAGAGTTAACTAGTAAAGGAAGCAGAGTAAAACTGAATTAGGGCTGGGGTTTTATGCCAAGTGTAGTAAAATGATTAGTGCAAAGGAGTGAGCAGCGGGCAGCAAGAAAGCTAAGAGTATTAGAAAAGTACAATGGATTATGGGCTTCATGCTGGAGCTAAGAAAACAGAAATAAAATTAAAGCAACCACAGATAGATGGTAAAGAAAATGAAGTAGTCAAGAATCTAAAGATCAAAGTAAGGTCAGAGAGTAAATAACATGAGAATTGGAGTGACAGAGGTAAAAAGAATACATGATGACTATCCAAATTATGAATATTACAGAGGTAGTACAGTTTTAGGTAGTAAGATCAAAAGCCTGACCAAAGATTTCACAGAGTTACTCAACTAAAAGGGTAAAGATGTTCAGAGTTGAGAAGGTTAAGTAATTGTAAATTACCCAGGTTAACAATAGGGTGCAAATTCCAAAGTTTTCAAAATACCAAGAAAAGAAAAAATACGTAAAAAGGTAATAAATAAGATTTGCCCCAGAAGTATCAATACTGACAATATAGCAAAGAAATCAAACATCAAAAGGGTTCCTTAAAAATTAAAGGAGGATTTAACAATCTACTTCTGAAAAGTTTCAGATGACCTAGTCCAGAAGGAATTTCAGCTGCATTCCTATACTAAACCAGTCACACTCCCACTTAAAAGAGAAACTAAATGTGTAAATTTTGCACTGACAGGGATGGAGAGGTCTAGAAGCATGAACTCTATATTGTTTTTGTTCTGGCCTTCGAATCATCCACTCTTGGAGACATTCTACCCTGTAAATAAGAAAACATCATCATCCTGAAACTCAGAGGAAACAAACTTTTAAAAAGATCCAAGTTATCTACAAAGCAAAAAAGCAGCAACACAAAAAACATACACATTGTCCCACTACAACTAAATGATTTTTACTTGCAAATTAACTTATTGTAAGTACTTTCATACCTAGATCCTTAAAGAAAGCTGAAAATAAATCATTACTCACTGTCTTAACAGCTGTCTGCCTTGCTTCCACGTTAACTGGCTATTCTGGGGTGCTGTGGGAGCCTCTGTGTCTTTGGTTTCTTCTAAAAATTTAAAAAAAAAAAGAAGTTTTACATGCTTATTTCAACTCTTATAAATACTGCTAAAGTTTTCTTAGGGATTAATTCCTAAAAAACAAAACAAAACAAAACAAAAACCTAAATATTCCTAAATATTTCCTAAAGACAGGAAAAAATTAACTTTAGTTACTGTGGGTCACTCAATTGAAGTGTGTTTGTTCCAATAACCCAATCACTTAGATACTACCCTCTTCCATCTTAAAATTAGAAAAACCCAGTGTACTAGGGATTCAAAAATCAAAGCCCCAGGCTTTGAGATGAAATTATGAAGATAATTAGATTTTTTAACTACTAGAATGCTGCTGAATTGATTGCTTTTGAAATTAAAAAGCTGTATTACATAAGCTATTCAAAAATCAAGACTAAGATATTAGGTATATATAAAAATACTGAATAACTTATTTGAATCTGCACCAGTAGATCTTAAGTCTATACAAGACTTTAGCCAATTTTACTTTTGTAACTAAGAGTTAAACCAGAAAATAGTTTTTACTACAGGTAAAGAGTCATGTTTTATTTGCAAATAATGAAGTGTACGCCAAAAAAAAAAAAGTTTAATAAACAGTGTAATTGCAGGTGAATTAAGCTCTCAAATAGTATCTCAAGTGAAATTTAAAACTACTTATGGGCACTTATGTTACAGAAATATTTTCTCATAAATTCTCATTATTACGATAATGACAGTGAAGAAGAGAGGGGCTTGGAAAGTCAACCCCCACACTAAATATTGAGAACTCTTAGAATGGCTCACAGTCATTGTTAGGCTCCTAGGCTCCTCAAATTCACTTAATACTTACTGGTAATAATTAAAGTATCCTCTGTAGGCATTACTCCTCTAACCCTAACAATCACATTATTAATAACTTTTTATTCTTCTCTCAACAAAAGCACACCTTTGATTTCTAGAAATAATTCTTTTTCGAATAGTCCCACTGCTTATTTTTCTATTTACAATTAGTTCTATTTATAACACTTTACTTTTTAATCACATATACCACGTAACCACTGAAGGAAAAAAGACATTCAAAAAAAAAAAGAAGAAGAAGAAATACAATTGCCCAAAATCCTATCACCAAGAGTTAACAACTGTTAGTACTTGAGAGTTTATTATTCCATATTTTCTATATGAAAATATATACATGACTAATATAACACTCCCTTTAAAAAAAAATGAGCCAATGTGTGTCCCACACTATAATCTGCTTTTAATACTTAAGGTATCTTGAATATTTTCTATATGGCAGTATAGATTAACATAAAAAAGGATTAAATAATATTCTATAGAAAGTATATACCTATTTAATTAATCCCCTAATGTTGAAATTAGTTTCCATTTTCTCACTATTGTAAATGTTGCTAAGGATATTCTTGAAGTACATCAAATATATAGCTCAAGAAATCTTTGAACACGCCCATGTAATCAATACCTAAATGAAACAAAACATTATCATCATCACTAAAAGCTTTCTTGTGCCCTCCAGTCACTAGCCACTCTAAAATGAGTATCACTACTACCCTGATTTTTTTTTTTTTTTTGAGACAGAGTCTCACTCTGTTGCCTAGGCTAGAGTGCCCTGGCATCAGCCTAGCTCACAGCAACCTCAAACTCCTGGGCTCAAGTGATCCTCCTGCCCCAGCCTCCCGAGTAGCTGGGACTACAGACATGCATTACCATGCCTGGCAATTTTTTTCTATATATTTTTAGTTGTTCAGCTAATTTCTTTCTATTTTTAGTAGAGACAGGGTCTTGCTCTTGCTCAGGCAGGTCTCGAACTCCTGAGCTCAAATGATCCACCTGCCTCAGCCTCCGAGAGTGCTAGGATTACAGGCGTAAGCCACTGCACCTGGCCAATACTACCCTGATTTTTAACAACTAGATATCGGAATTTGATATCAATTATTTCTATCAATTTTCAATTTTATGTGATCTATCCATTTTGTCACATTTGGCTGTAGTTTGCTCACTTCTGTTCTAAACAGCATTGCTATACTAACATATCACAATATATTTATTCTAATAGTGAAGGGCAATCTCATTGTTTTCAGATTTTTGCTATAAATAATGATACTATGAACATTCTTATACAAGCCTTGTGGTTAACACGTTATGTATTTCAATGAGAATTATTGGGTCATAGGGTATGTATGCTATATTCACTTTAGTAATATCGTCAACTCACTTTCAGAGCAGCATTATCAATTTACAAGCCTAGCAATAATTTCTACAAGTTATGATCACTATCATTCCACATCCTCATCAACACTTGATATTGCCTCTTTTGAGTTGTAGCCATTCTGGTCAGTGTCTAATTGTATTCCATTGTGGTTTTAAGTTGTATTTTTCCAATACCAATAAACACCAAACATCATCTCATATGTTTACTGGCCATTTAGATATCCTCTTTCATAGGATGCCTTTTCAAGCTTTTTGCCCATTTTTCTATCATATTGTCTATTTTCTAAATGTACAACAAAGGGAGCATTTTGACATATTTGGATATACTCTCTTTTATAAGGTTAAGTTAGGCTATATATATTTGTACTGAGGGAGGGATATAAACACTTGCATGTCTTATACTTCTATCAAATCAATATTTTGCACATTTTCTTTTTTACATTGATCTATCTGTGGGAATACAAAAGGCAACATTGTTTCACTTAATATTACATCCATATATAATTTGACATAAATAATTTTATACCATTTTATTTGCTTAACGTATTTTTGTCAGTCTTTCTTTTGTTTTCCACTAGACATGTTGCATAGCTGTTTTTTGTTTGTGAAGAGACAGGGTCTCATTCTGTTGCCCAGGATGGAGTATAGTAGCATCATCATAGCTTACTACAGCCTCCAACTCTTGGGCTCAAACAATCCTCCCTGCCTCAGCCTCCAGAGTACCTGGGAATGCAAGTGTGCGCCACCATACTCAGGTAATTTTTTTTTAAAGAGACAAGTCTTGCTACATTGCCCAGGTTGGTCTCAAACTCATGGCCTCAAATGATCCTCCCACCTCAGTGCTGGGATTTATAGCCCTGCGCTACTGCACCCAGCTGTTTTCCAGTAAACATCCTGAATAGTTTTTCTATACAAGTAAAAAACATTTTACTTTGCGGTTATATTGTGTCTCATGTAAATAAGTTACTTTGATATTATTTTATTCCTCAACTTGAGGAATTCCAGGTACGATGTGTATGTAACTAGCCTCCTTCCTCATATTACAAAGACCAAGCCCTCTAGTTCTAGAAAGTGTTTACTTATTTTCTGATTATTGTGGCAATACTGGAAAGAAAATGAGTCAAAAAAAAGCTCTGAATCCATCAGGTTTCTTCTGGTGAAGCCACTGTACTCCCTCTAACTGTAATAGGACTACTGTAGTAAACAAAGTTCAAAATATATAGACCCTCTTTCTATTATTTATGCTTGCTTTTCCCATGGAGATCATAATATAGTTTCCTCACATTCAAATGAGCCTTCATAACCACTAAAAAGCCACATTAAAGAAAACCTATGCCACTCCCATCTTGGTCTCTTAATTTTATATATATAACAACTGGAACAAATAATAAATAGTTTTGCTGCAAGAAGAAAGCAGTCAAAAAAATAAATCCACTGTAGGCTATACATATGGTATATGTTTCTGCCAAGTTCTAAGTATTTAATATTGGACTAAAAACCAATTAACTAAATTTTTACTATAACACCTAACTTTAAAAATTCACATATAAGTTTTGTTTTTCCTACCATATATGCTTTATTAGGTATGAGACAACTATAGAAGGAGATGAAAAATCGTATATCCAAATAAAGAAGGTTTTGGTTTTTTTTGTCTTAGTAACTAGCAACCAAGAACAGTATAGCTTTTAATTTGCACTATCAAAAATGTGTATATAACTGAAGTTCTAGACATACCTGAGAAATAAGAAATTGCTAGTAATTTTCCCAAATCCTAATCAAAATATTGTCCACTCTTTCTATTCAAATTATAATCACACATAGCCCTAAAATTAGCATTAAACAGTTAGCCCTCTCCTATATCCAGTCTCTTCCTTCACTGCATAATTGTTCCTCAGATACTACTCTCACACTCACTATCTGCTTTGTAAAGAACAAAGCCAACTGAAGAAAATTTTTTCCTTCTCTCCTATTTGGCTGACTCTGTAGATGCCAAACCCAGTCAAATTTCCAATTATGTTTAGGACTAAAATGAGTTAATTAGAACTTCTTCAGATTAAAGGGACTTTTTTTAATTCTTTTTTTTATTTTCCTGAAGAAAGTCAGCAGGTAAAGGGACTTTTAAATAATAATAAAGCTTATACAGACTGGGAAAAGAATTGTCCAGGTAGAAAACCAGCTATTCCATTAGGTTCTAGCTCTAATTACTACTAAAAATACATCTGCAGTTCTACACAGGTTTCAACGCAAGGAAAATAGGACAAGTAAGCTCAGGATTGAGAAGTAGAAGAAACTACTTACCTTTATTTATTTAATATTTTTCCCAAATTCTAAGTAGTCTTTACAATAGTCAATCATCTGTCTAACTAATGCTACCAAAGCAAAACAGGGGTAAAGACAACATGTCTGCTACATAAAAGAGACCTTTAAAAAAAAGGTAACAAAAGCATCCAGTTTACCTGATTCAAAGGTTGGCATTTTCAAATCACCTTGGTTCAGTTCTGTGCCGTATTTTAATTTGTGATATTTTGCCCTGAAAATTAAATAATACATTGTTAAAAAAATAATTTTTTCCTTTTGTGACTATTACTATTCATTACTCCAATAACAAAACATTAAGATGAATGTGTTTCTTTAAACTTTATTTGCAAAGAATACCGAAGAATGTACCACTGTAAAAGCAAAAAAAAGCAAATTTCCCAAGTAACACATATATCCAAGTGAAGAAAAATTTTCCCTGATCTTTTTAATTCCAAAATTTAAATTCTTTAATAAAACACATTATTTCAACTTAACTTTTTAAATCTCTTTTGCTTTTCTTTTCCCATATACGAATCTAATCAAAATATCATCTTCTATGTGGACAAGGATTTTAGAAAGCTGTTAAATACACTGTACAATGGTATAAATGAGAATACTATTGTTCTACTTGATTTATAAGAAAATGAAGCACACATACCTTTCTTGTTTTAATGCATACTCTAACATCTTTATTCTTCTTACTAAATCCTTCTTTAAGTTCTCCTGACCTTTTCTTTCCCCTTGTAGAAATGCTATCCGGGCCTAAAAATATAAAAGATACATTACTTTCATTTTTCCTTAAACACATATAGGGAACTGAAAAGAAAATAATAATGCAAACCTTTGCACTTTTACTCATGACAGCAAGATTTAATTCATAAAAATGGTTGACCAAACTTTCTGTTAGATAACATGATTACTTTAAAAATAAAAATAACTACAAATTAGCTATTTGCTTGTAATCAATCCTTAGAATCCCTAAGATTAATATTTAAGCTTTATACAACCTTGAAAGGAAATTTTTATACATAAAAATTACACCTAATTCCTAACATACAAATCACAAAGAACTGAAAGGCAGTATTATAGCCACAAGTAGATTTATATATTTCAGATGATGAGACATTGCTTATTTCAAAAAAATAGCTGAAGAGTATTTTGGAAGCTTTTCTTTCCTGAAACACTGGAAAATTTATAATCTTTCCATTTTACCATGCCACTCCAAATTGTGTTTCAATTCTTGCGATACCAGATAGGCAAATAGTTTGTTGGGCCACCATACAATCTATGACCTCATTACTTTCTGTTGTCATTTTTCTACTGTGAAAGGATTTTTTCTTCCTAATTGTGGTATTTGCCAAGAAAGGCAATTCTTTGCCTTTTTCTGGCCCTTCCCAGAATGTCAGCCTCCTTTACCCACCCCACACTAAAGGATAATATTGAAAGACACTGGCATCTGTATGTAGACATTTACCATTATGCACACATTCACAACAAAACTTTCACATAGGGTAGAATGCTCTTACTGAGATGACACATAGGTATATTTGTTCAGTAGGAGACAGAAAGCTACTTAGTAAGCTAAATTGTCATTAAAATAACTGCTGTCATCCAAAACTCTTCTCTATTATCTTTTTAAAAAACTCATATTAAATCATCCTTAACTCTTCAACACTTGAGAAATTATAAACCGATACATAACACTTATAAACATAACACTTATAAACACAACTTTCCAAATAAAAATAAAGGTCTGGGAGAATGGTAAAGATTCAGAATCTAACAGTCTAAGATCCTGAAAAAAATGGCATCACTTATCAATGACTCTCTTGAGCTTTGGAGCAAAGGTAAAACATGTCAATTTCATCATACATTTTCAAGGAAGATTCTGATTGGATTTTTCTCCTATGTAGCCAAACTATTTAAAAAAAAAAAACATGAATCATATACAATAAAACCATTATGTGATTTCAATTTTAAAATAATAAGCATTCTACTATTACCAGTGAAAAGCTGAAACAAACTTTCTGCTTTTTAAGAAGTAGTAATAAGTGGTTTCTGATTGAGAAAGGCGTTGAGATTAAGTGAAAGTCATAATGCCCTCTAAGAAATTAAAATAAAGACTACACATGTAATAGTTCCTATTAGAATCTTACACTGTTGTGAGAATTGATTTTCACTTCTTTCTCTTCCGTTTTTGTTACCAACCCATCCATACTTAGAGAATCTAGTAAATCAGACAAACAAGCACAAACCACACATAAAAAGCAAGAATCTCAAAGCAGTTACTGAACAGGGAGCTGAAGGAAGATAATTCACAAGGATTTAGGACAAGGAAAAGGTTCAAGAATTTACAAAAGAAAACTTGAAAAAAGAATCATGGATTAATCAAAAACATGTGGGGGAGAAAAAAAGGGGGTGACAAAGAAGCCATGAAGACTGGAACAGACCTTGTGACCTAGTATCGCCAAGTATCTAGAGCGTACTTGACTGAAAAGGTAAAGGTTATATCTGATAGTCATAATAATGATCAATTAAATAACAGATTTAGCACTTGGTACAAGATCACTGATAATGGACTTTTCAGCTATATTTTACAACATCATCTCTGCAAATATACTTTAAAAAGTAGCCTCAAGAAATATATTTACAGTGGTATCAAAAAATAAAAGTACCTAGAAATAAACCAACAATGATGTGCAAGATCTCCATAGAGAATATTTAAAAATTTAACAGAAGCATAAAAGACAACCAAAACAGACTAGAAGAGTCATTACTATAAAAATATCAGTTTTCACCCAAATTGATCAACAGACTTAATTCTAATCAAACTCTGAATTTGTGTCTGTGTGTAAAACTGAACAAGCTGACTCAAATTTACACAAAATTCAAATTGCCAAGAATAATCAAAATAATTTATAAACAATGAGGTGGCAGAAATTGCTTTACCAAACATTAAGATGCATTATAAAGTTACAGAAATTAAGACAATGATTGGTATAGAGATAGAAAAATGGTCAAAGAAACAGAAAGCCCAGAAACAAACTAAAGCATATAAGGTCACATGATTTATGAAAGGTAGCAGGGCAGAACATCGAGAAAATGATGATCACTTCAAAAATACTACTCAGGCCTGGCCCAGTAGCTCACACCTATAATCCCAGCACTTTTGGAGGCTGAGGTGGGAGGATCGCTTGAGGCCAGAAGTTTGAGACCAGCCTGGGCAACATAAAAGGATACCATCTCCACAAAAGAAAAACTTTTATTTTAGCTGGGCATGATGACACAGGGCTGTGGTCCCAGCTATTTGGGAGGCTGTGGCCAGAGGAATGCCCGAGCCCAGGAATTCACAGTTACAGTGAGCTATGATTGTGCCACTGCACTCCAGCTTGGGTGACAGGTCTCTAGAAAAGAAAAAAAAAATTTGCAAACCTAATATCAGACAAAATAGGCTTAAAATTTGTAAAGGTTACAAGAGACAAGGAAGATTATAATATATAATACTCACATGCCACCTAACTATGCTTTGGTAAATTATAGACTACCCATATATGACAGTGGTCCCAAAAGATTATAATGGCACTTAAAAATTCCTATCACATAGTGACACAGCATAATCCATTACTCATGTGTTTGTGAAAATGCTGGTGTAAACAAACCTACTGTGCTGCCAGTTGTATAAAAGTATAGTACATACAATTACATATAGTACATAATATTTAATAGATGACAATGTTACTGATTTATGTATTAACTACCCTATACTTTTTATCATTTTTAGTGTATTTCTCCTCCTTATTAAAAAAAAAGTTACTTGTGAAACTGCCTCAGGCAAGTCCTCCAGGAGGTAGTCCAGAAAAGGCATTGTTATCACAGACGCTGATGGTTCCATGTCTGTTATTGCCCCATAATACATTAAGCAAAAATTGACAGAATTGAGGGAAAAATGGACGATACTAGTTGGAGACTGCAATACCCCACTGTAAATAATGGAAAGAACGAGACAAATGATAAGTAATAAAATAGAAGATCTGAACAATTCAGTAAATCAACTAACTCTAACAGACATATATGGAAAATTTTACCCAGTGATAGAATGTACATTCTTCTCAAGAGCACATGGGACATTTTCCAGGATAGATCACATATGTTAAGTCACAAATTAAGTCTCAATAGCTTTAAAAAGACAAAGTTTCTTCTCTGATTGTAACCAGATGAAGTTAGAAATCAATAACAGAAAGAAAACTGGAAATTCACAAATTTGTGGGAATTAAACAACATACTCTTAACAAATAGATCAAACAGAAAAATCACAGGGACGTCAGGAAACAGAGACAAATGACAATAAAGGCACAACATACCAAAACTTATGGGACACAATGAAAGCACTAAGAGGTAAATTTATAGCTAAATGCTATATTAAAAAACAAGAAAGATCTCAAACCATACAACTTAAGAAACTTGAAAAAGAATAAACTAAACTGAAAGTTAGCAGTAAGAAGGAAATAAAGATTAGAGCAAAGATAAAAGAAAGAGAAAAATCAATGAAACCAAAAGTCATTTCTTTGGAAAAGATCAAATAAATTGACAAACCTTTACCTAGATTGACAAAAAAAAAGGGAAGACTCAAATTACTACAACCAGAAATGAAAAGACATTATTGTCGATTCCACACAAATAAAAACAGTACTATGTACACCAACAATCGGACAACCTAGATGAAATGGACAAATTACTAGAAACAAAATCTACCAAGACTGAATCACCAAGAAACAGAAATCTCTCAACAAGGAAAAGCTCTGGATCTGAAGGCTTTACTGGTGAATTCTAACAAACATTTCAAGAACAAACTCCAATCTTTCTCAAACTTTTCCAAAAATTTTAAGAGAAAGGAATACTTCCTTACTCATTCTATGAGACCAGCATTGCCCTGATAACCAAAGCCAGTCAAAGACAGTAAGAAACTATAGAACAATAAATATATCCTTATGAACACTGACACAAAAATTCTCAAAAAAATACTAACAAACTGAATTCAGCAGCATTTTAGGAGGATTATATTCATGACCAAGTGGGCTTTATGTCTATAATGCAAAAGCACTGCTCAATATAAGAAAATTGATAAATGTAATAAACCACATTAACAGAATGAAGAAAAAAGCCTTGATTATCTCAATACAAAAAAGTCATTGGACACAATTCAACACCTTTTCATGATAAAAATACTAAACACAGAAGAAACTACCTCAACATAATAACAGCCATATGTGAAAAACCCACAGCAAACATTATACTCTATGATGAAAGACTGAATGAAAGCTTTTCCTCTAAGATCAGGAACAAGGCAAGGATGCCCACTTTCATCACTTCCATTCAATATGGTACTAAAAGTCCTAGATATTAGGAAAGAAATAAAAGGCAACCAAATTCAAAAGGGTAAAATTATCCATTCACAGATTACATGATGTAGAAATCCCAAAGATTACACAATAACGTTAGTACTAATAAATGAACTCAGCAAAGTAATAGGATATAAAGCCAACACATAAAATCAGTTGCATTTCTATATACCAACAATGAACAACCAGAAAAGGAAATTAAGAAATTCATTCCATGCACAATAACATAAAAAAATACATATATCTAGAAATTAACCAAGGATGTGAAAGACTTATATAATGAAAACTACAACAACACTGCTGAAAGAACTTAAAGAAAACAAATAAATGGGAACATATCCTATGACTGTGGATTATAAGACTTACTATTATTAAAATGTCAATACTACCCAAAGCAATCTACAAGTTCAATGCAATCCCTATCAAAATCCCAATATTTTGGGGCACAAATAGAAAAATCCATCATAAAATCCAAATGGAATCTCAAGGACCACTAAATATGGAAAATAAAAAACAAAACAAACAAAAACACAGCACAGAAACAAAAAATAGAAAAACAACTTTGAAAAAGATGAGTAAATTCAAGTCCCCAAACTTTCTGATTCCAAAACATACTACACAAAGCAACAGTAATCAAGATGGTATGCCTGGCATACATATGGACATATAGACAGAAGGAATAGAGTGTAGAGCTCAGAAATAAACCTTTGTGTATATGGTCAAATGATCTTCAACAAGGTGCCAAGACTACACAATGGGGAAAAGGACAGTCTCTTCATCAAATGGTACTATGAAAACTGGATACCCACATTTAAAAGAATGAACTTGGACCCTTCCTAACATCATATACAGAAATTAACTAAAAATGTATCAAAGACCTGAACATAAGAGCTAAAAACTATAGAACTCTTCCAAGAAAACATAGGGAAAAATCTTCATGACAGTGAATATGGCAATTATTTTTTAGATATGATGCCAAAAGGACAGACAAAAGAAAAACCAAATTGGATTTCATTAAAATTAAAAATTTTGTATTGATGGACACCATCAAACAGAATGAAAAGGCAACCTAAGGAATGGGAGAAGATATTTACAAATTATGTATCTGGTAAGGGATTTCTGTCCAGAATGAATACACAACAAATTCTGGCCAGGTATGGTGGCTCATGCTTGTAATCCCAGCACTTTGGGAGGCTGAGGTGGGAAAAATCACTTGAGGCCAGGAGTTCAAGGCCAGTGTAGACAACATTTCACCAAAAAAATGAAAATCAAGAAATGAAAATATGGCCGGGCATGGTGGCTCACACCTGTAATCCTAGCACTCTGGGAGGCCGAGGTGGGTGGATTGCTCGAGGTCAGGAGTTCAAAACCAGCCTGAGCAAAAGTGAGACCCCGTCTCTACTATAAATAGAAAGAAATTAATTGGCCAACTAATATATATAGAAAAACTTAGCTGGGCATGGTGGCGCATGCCTGTAGTCCCAGCTACTCGGGAGGCTGAGGCAGGAAGATTGCTTGAGTCCAGGAAATTGAGGTTGCAGTGAGCTAGGCTGACGCCACGGCACTCACTCTAGCCTGTGCAACAAAGCGAGACTCTGTCTCAAAAAAAACAAAAACAAAAACAAAACAAAAAAGAAATGAAAATAAATATATAGCTAAGTCCTAAAACTCAACAACAAAAAAAACCAAACCACCCAAATAAAAAATGGGCAAAAGGTTTGAACAGATATTGCTCCAAAGAAGAGATACAAATGGACAAAGCAGCACACAAAAAGATGCTCATATCACTAATCAGAGAAATACAAATGAAGACTGCAGCAAGATATCACCTCATATCCATTACGATGGGAATAATCAAAAAACCAGAAAATAACATGTGCTGGTATGGAATATAAAGAAATTGGAGGCCAGGTGTGGTGGCTCATGCCTGTAATCCTAGCACTCTGGAAGGCCAAGGCAGGCGGATTGCTCGAGGTCAGGAGTTCGAAACCAGCCTGAACAAGAGCAAGACCCCGTCTCTACTATAAATACAAAGAAATTAATTGGCCAACTAAAAATATATAGAAAAAATTAGCCAGGCATGGTGGCGCATGCCTGTAATCCCAGCTACTCGGGAGGCTGAGGCAGAAGGATCGCCTGAGCCCTGGGGTTTGAGGTTGCTGTGAGCTAGACTGATGCCACAGCACTCTAGCCTGGGGCAAAAGAGTGAGACTGTCTCGACAACAAAACAAACAAAAAAAGAAATCGGAACCTTTGTTCACTACTGGTGGCAATGTAAAATGGTATAGACACTAAGGAAAATACGCAGTTCTTCAAGAAAAAAATTCACACAAGGAGAAGTACTCTGAATAGGCTTCTATCTATTAAAGAAAATGAATCAACAATTAATAACCTTCCAAAATAGAAAGCATCAAGCCCAGATGGGTTCACTGGAGAATTCTATCAAACATTTAAGGATGAAATTATATCAATTCTCTACAGTCTCTTCCAGAAAACATAAACAAAGGGAACACATGCTAACTCATTTGATGAAGCCAGCATTACTCTAATATTAGAACTAGGTAAAGTACATTACAAGAAAGGAAAAATACAGACTGATATTCCTCATGAACATAAATGCAAAATTCAACAAAATATTAGCAAATACAACAATGTATACAAAGAATTACACATCAAGACAATGTAGGATTTATTTCAGCTTTGCAAGGCTGATCAACATTCAGAAACATATTAATGTAATCCATCATTAATTGGCAAAACAAGCTAAAGAAGAAAACCTCTAAGATCATATAGAAA